ATTCTTTTTTCGTTAACCGAATTGAAGATTCTTATGGAAGATAATTCGATAACCGAGGGACCACTGTATTCGGCTTGTCATTTAATTTTTGTCAAATTACTAATTATATTTTTTTTTTTCTATAGTATTTAATATTTTATATTGTCAATGATAAAACATACACCATAAGAAGTTGATCATACGAATATTGGGGTTCAGGCAAATAAAAAACGCTGGTAATGAGGCAAGGTACTGCGTGTCACACACTGGTGGATGTACAGTATATATGTTAAGTTTTTTTTTTTGCGGAAGCTGTTATTTCGCAAAATAACTTAAAAACAGGCTAACCAAATTAAAAAAAAAAAAAAAAAGAACAGGACCACTTAACTGTGTATCACGCTACACGAGGTACCTCCACTACTTACATTCATCATCAACTTGCTTTGCTAACTCATGGTCAATTCGACCTACTTTTCTTGTCCAGATGGTTAGGGATAGTAGTGAGTTTTTGTGACTGTGTGAAGTTTCGTGTGCAGATATAGTTCGAACACCATTTTTCCAGTCACAGAAACCAGAGGTGAAGCCATGATATTGATGATATAAACATACCTGTTCCTCATATTTCCCTTCCAAATTATCCATTATTTTGCACTTCACATAATTCTTTGATCATTCATAACTTATTACTGAAGTTATATACATCATTGTTTACCTGAAATGGTCCTCCAATACAAGTCTGGCACCGTACCATCCGTACGTCACAATGGAGTCCCGGATCAGCCGAGTGTCGTTAGCTACTGTTATCGAACTGACAAACAGTTGCCACACGCCACTTCCGAGTCTCTAAAATGTATATGTATGATCCAATTGGACACATTAAAAACGAAATAGTTAATGGCTTACTTACTAATTGACCATTTAATGGCATATATAGCTAAATATTTTTATCCTTAGACTCTGGGGGCCCCTAAGAGTCTGGGGGCCTGAGGCCAGTGCCTCATGGTTAATCCGGCCCTGGAATAGAATCTGATTAAAAATAAATGCCAAAATATTAGGTTTCGAATTTGAAAATATCGCCATGATAATTCAAGCTTTCAAATGCGATCATAATGCTGAGTACAACAAGCGCATCCGGGTTCCAAGACATGCTAGGTCACGCATTGTTTACCCTTCCGTGTCTCGTGGTAGTCGTCTCACAAGTGCTCCGTGGTTAACTTTATTAATACAGTGACCCCTCGTTTAACGAACGCCTCGGTTAACGAAATTTCAGTTAACGAACTGCCTTCCATAAGGATCTTCAATTCGGTTAACGAATTTCTTACGAACAGACCTCAACATGTTTTCGCTTGCACTGACCAGGCAACCAGCTTTAGTATCAGTCCACCAATACATTAATTGGTTCTAGGGCTTAAATTCCTTACTATTTTAGTAAATATCAAGAAGTTTATACTATTCAATAATTTTAAAAGTTTAATATTCAATTTTTTAGTCATTTTAACAATTATTGAACATAATTGAAGGTAAAGTGACTAGTTTAATGCGCGGCATCCAGCCTCTTAACACAGCAAACAGGCGTTAGTCTCTCTCTGTTTTCACTGGAGGTAACATCTTGCTTCAGACTCTCTTCAACTAAATGCTTTTTTCTGTGTTTCCAAGCAAATTATTGGTCATTTTGAAATATATTTTACATATTGACAATATATAATGTAGTGCAGTGTTGATTTAAAGAAAATAATCTTGAATTACACCAAGAGAGCTAAAATTTTATGGGTGAAATGGTGCCATGGGGTGACTTCTCTTCCACCCCAATGCCTCTTCTTCTTCTCCCTTCTCCTCCACCCCCATTCTAAATTCCATCATCATCATCATCATCATCCAGGAGCCTTCTACATACACACCTCAAAGTAAGTGAACTTTTCTATCATTTTTGTTGAATTTAGGAAATTTTCGGTGAGCTGGAACCAATTACCCAAAACCCATTAAAACAATGGTTTCGGTTAACGAACTTTTCGGTTAACGAACTACCTTCTGGAACGGATTGAGTTCGTTAACCGAGGGGTCACTGTATTCAACTTTCACCCTTATAATGGCATCAAATAAGCGTTCACTTGATAGTTTAGCATACAGTATTGGAAAGAAAGAAAAAGTATGTTTCAAGACAATAAACAGTTCAAGGTTAGAAATTTAGGTAAATACTATCATATACACACACACCACATCACACACACACACACACCATCATCCACACACCCATACATCACACACACACCCACATACCCACATCACACACACCGTACATCACACACACACCCCATCACACACACACACACCTACATCACACACACACACACACACACACCTGCACACACACACCCACATCACACACACACACCACACATCACACACACCAGACATCACACACACCCAGACATCACACACCCCCTACATCACACCCACACACCCCACATCACACCCACACACCCCCACATCACCCCACACACCCCGATCACACCCACACCCACACCACCCACACACACACACACATCCACACACACCCACACACACACACACATCCACACACACACACCCACACATCCACACACACCCACACACCCACACACACCCACACACCCACACACACCCACACCCACACACACCCACACACACACCCACACACACACACCCCTACATCACACACACACACACACACACACACCCCTACACCACACACACACACACATACACCCACATCACACACACACACACCCGTACATCACACACACACACACACCCCCACATCACACACACACCCCATCACACACACCCCCACATCACACACACACCCATACATCACACACACACACACCCCCACATCACACACACCCCCACATCACACACACCCCCACATCACACACACACACACACCCCCACATCACACACACACACACCCCCTACACATCACACACACACACACACACCCCTACATCACACACACACACACACACACCCCCTACATCACACACACACACACACACACACACCCCCACATCACACACACACACACACACACCACATCACACACACACACACACACCCACATCACACACACACATACACCCCACATCACACACACACACCCTACATCACACGACACACCCCCACACACACACACCCCCACATCACACACACACACCCCCACATCACACACACATACACCCCACATCACACACACACATACACCCCTACATCACACACACACACACCCACATCACACACACACCCCCTACATCACACACATACACCCCACACACACACACACCCCCACATCACACACACACCCCTACATCACACACACACACACATACACCCTACATCACACACACACACACACCCCCCACATCACACACACACACACACCCCTCACATCACACACACACATACACCCCACATCACACACACACACACACACACACCCCACATCACACACACACACACACCCCCACATCACACACACACACACACACCACATCACACACACACACCTACATCACACACACACACACACCCCCACATCACACACACATACACCCCACATCACACACACATACACCCCACATCACACACACACACCCCCCTACATCACACACACACACACACACACCCCCTACATCACACACACACACATACACCCCTACATCACACACACCCCTACATCACACACACACACATACACCCCACATCACACACACACACATACACCCCTACATCACACACACACATACACCCCACATCACACACACACACACACACACACACACACACACCCCCACACACACACACACACACACACACACACACACACACACACCCCACACACACACACACACACACCCCACATCACACACACACACACACACACCCACACACACACACACACACACACACACACACACACACACACACACACACACACCCCCTACCTACATCACACACACACACCTACATCACACACACAAACACCTACATCACACACACACAAACACCCACATCACACACACACAAACACCCACACACCCTACAACACCACCCCCAACAACACCCTTACCCCATATCACCGCTAATTCAGAAACCAACGACTTTTACCGCTAGTGGGTAGTAGGCAGCATAATGTGTTGTCTAATGGTAGACCCTGCTGCCATATGGCACCACAAATATTGTGACCAAGTCCCTGGTTGCTGATCTGACAGTGCCTATTTACAGATAATTGCAGGTTCTATATATCTTACTTTGACAACACAGCCTACTTATATTGTTTCTCATTCTCGATTTTTTTTATGGTTGTTATTATTTATTTTTATTTACATTTATTATTATTATTATTATTATTATTATTATTATAATTATAATTATAATAATAATAATAATAATAATAATAATACAGTAATAATAATAATAATAATAATAATAATAATAATAATAATAATAATAATAATATTTTTGCCTCCTAGGCCTTGATGTGTCGGTGACCTGTGCCCTAGTGGGCTAATGCCTATATAAAAAAGAAGAAAAAAAAAGGGTTGGTTATAAGGGTATGTTTGCACTGCACAATCTTGGGAACTTTGTGATGGGGGAATATCATAACATTTCTGTTACACTTGTGAGATTGAATGATAGATATTGAATGAAGAGTGTGTGTGTTTGGTGCTAATTTGAAAGTTTAAAAAAAAAGACTTATGTAAAACACTTCTAAAGTGAAGGGACCAAATTATCAGGAATTAAAGAAGCCAAGTTCATGATAATTATTCCCTTATTTCCGTATAATTTTTTAATAACTCAACATTGTTATGCGTTTGATATTCGAGTAATTTGTATTTTCCCATGTTCCAGTGCAGTATTTTCAAAGTAATTTTATTACAGGAGGTACTTATTGTGTACAGACTCAGGTTTTACGACCCTGAATACTGTATTTGGACAAAGAAAATTAATTAATTCTAAATACAAATTTCTCTTTTCTTTCTCAGAAAGTACTGCTGCTCAGGAGGCTTTGAATGGCAGATACTTTGGAGGACGCCTAGTAAAAGCCGAGCTATATGACCAGAACATGTACAACCACAATGACCTCTCAGGATAGATACAATTATGTAGTGTTGTTACACCTGCCCATTATATATTCCTTCATACAGTATATACAACTACTTACACAGTAAGGCCATGGATGATTAGAAGAAAAAAATTCTAATGTTTTTATATACAGTATGGTATAAATTTATTTTATTCTATTTTATTTTTTCTCTCCACTAGACATTGAGAGGACTGTACCAGTTCCATGTAGAATATCACCCCATAAGTCACATTTCTCTCTCATACATGCCCTTCATTTCAGCTTGTGTGAGTTGATCATCTTCTCACCCATTCAATGCATTTGTAGATAATTGTCCATTGTATGTCGTTATAGATATATTTTGAAATTTGTATATAGACTGCTTCCCCTTCTATACAATGTTTAAGATGCCTCAAAAGTCTTGCTTATAGCTGTGAGTCTTGGACTTGTTGTGGACAAGTGAATAAATGAGTTAGATTGGTAATAAAAGTTTAAAAAGAAAATAAAGAAATTTTTATTTCATGATTCAATGATCTTAATTACAGGTTGCTTCTAGTGTTAGATGATAGATTCCTTGAATGTAAAAATTGGTAGAATTTATCAGCAATCTTTCCAGTAAACCTTTGGCATTCAAACACAAGTATATAGCTTTTATATGGCAGCAAGTACAGCTTTGTATGGTGATGGATTTTGTGAAGAAAGCAATCATAACTCTAGATCAGTTTATTAAAACTGTGTGGCCAGGTTGTTCACAAAGCATTTGGTATTTATAAAACAGTCAAAACTAAATGCCACTACTTGGTCTGTTTTTGCCAGTCATAGAAAGAAATGCCATTACTTACCTGAACACAAAACAGTGAAGCTGTGACAAGAATGCATCTAGTGTAGTTGAAGTGTTTTAAGTTCATCGAGATAATTCTTTTAAACACCCTATGTCCTTTCTATTTATATTTGATTTTGATGGAGCTTGGTCTTTGTATAAGCTATCTAAGAGTGACTGGGGCACTTAAAAATGTCACATTTTAATTTGTGAATTTTTTAATTTTTATGTAAAATGCAGTTGTGCTTTACTGTTGGCAGGGAAAATTCATTCAATTAAAGACTTTGAAACTAGTTCATAACACCAATTAATGAATGTCACATAATAAGCACCTTTAATAATCATACAATATTTCATATGATGTTACAATTAATACTGTACAGTCGGAGACAAAAGTTCGCTCCTCGTGGTGAAACCAAGTCACAGGAATGAGTCTCCGAACTGACTTACCCTGACTGTTTCATCTCATTTTGGAGTCGATGCTGCTTCATTTTGGGAGGGAGCGAACTTTTGACCCTGGCTATACATGAATTACCATTTCAACATAAAAGAAAATTTAAGTTCACAACATTAATAACTTCCTACTGTGGGGTGAAAGTCTCCCTGTGAATGCTAAAAACACTGGTCTTGTCAACTGCATCTGCCTATTAAATTGGTTCTGGCATCATCTCATATCAGTGTGTTAGCAACAGAGGATATAATAGAAGATAGTGAGTAACCCCAAGAATGTAAGATGCTCCTGTGATAAATCTGAAGTCTTACACATAATTTCTTCTGTGACCTGATGTAAATTAACTGCATTGCTTAGAGAAGATACCATTTGGGCCAAAACAGGTCATGTTGATGTAAAGAGTATACAATACTGGAGAGTTGTTAAATGTGAAAGACACAAGTTACAAAGTTGATATGAAAATTATATATACAGTATATATATATATATATATATATATATATATATATATATATATATATATATATATATATATATATATATATATATATATATATATATATATGTATATATATATATATATATATATATTTTTTTTTTTTTTCATTAGCCCAATAAAGCACGCGGACTTCTACATACAATCAACACCTCAACCCGCCAGGATTCGAACCCACGGCACACAAGCCTATGACTGTGACCTGGGAACGCTAACCGCTGGACCACCAGGATACTAAAAGCAATCCTAGACTTTGTTATATTTCACACAAAGCCTGTTCAACGAGCTTATGGCGCCGTGAACCTCTAATGGGGACCACCCGTATCACTTAGGTGGTCAGAGTAACTTTTACCAAATCCGGCTTCGAAACACGAGGATCCATATATTTGGCCATGCCATGTTAGCTGCCTCGGTCATGTCATAGGCGCAGGTGTGCCGTGTCTCAATCCTGGCGGGTTATATATATATATATATATATATATATATATATATATATATATATATATATATATATATATATATATATATTATATATATAATATATATATATATATATATATATATATATATATATATATATATATATATATATATATATATATATATGACCTAATTCAATTTACGTCCTTATTTCATTCGTATTTACGACCAAAACATAACAAAAAAATATAATAGAATTACATTTTCATATAAATAATAACTAAATCCTGATATGTATTATAAAAAAAATTTACTAAAAAAATTAAAGAGGGCCTTGCGCAAAGAAGCTGCCTTGCTAATGAGTGGTAAACAACAGTCGGAGCTTGGCGGGCCTTTTGTTTTCACGCATCTGGAACAGGAACAGGAGAAAAACTTTCTCTGGATTCTTACAGCATTTTTGCATCCCTATTCAACATGACCAAGAGAGCAAGTGATGGTAGTGTTGTTTCAAAAGCTAATAGAAAGTGTACAAGTTTAGCCGAGAAACTAGATGTGTTAAAACGATATGAAAAAGGTGAGAGGTCTGTGGATATTATATGGAGCAAGCAATGAACATATTTTCTGAAGTGGATCCATTAACAAAACAAAGCATTAAAATTTAAATAAATGCAAATGACCTAAATAAAGATGTATAATGAGTAAAGAAAGCAGCTGTGCAAGGTTCTTTTTAGAGCTTTATTATTCAAAGGCCTGAACCATCAACTTCAGCTATACCATCAAATTCAGCATCATAAGCAGCTTCAACATCAACTTCAGGTTCAGTAATAGTTTCAGCTACAGCTTCAGCTGTTGTTGAACCTAGAGCTTCAGCCAGAGTTGAACCTACAGCTTCAGCCAGAGTTGAACCTACAGCTTCAGCCAGAGTTGAACCTGATGACTACGTCATCTGAGGAAAAACTCGCACAATATTCATTGGCTGTCCTTATGTTTTATTAGACTTTACCGCCATTGGTGAGTAGAATTTTTGTTTTACATTCGTAAATTTTATTTAAAACATATATGAACAGTAAATAAGTCTTGCTTTCATATTCATATGTAGAGAAATGACGATATGTTTTCACGTGTGCACTTACTGTTCATAAGTTGGCGTTCCCAATCATCTCACTTTATTTCTTTACCATTAGTGGTTAGCTACTTCTAGTGTTCCATATATTAACATTAAATAACATTACTTTAAACATACATACAGGTATTCAAATTTTTTTTAATTAAGTTCACTACAACTACAACCAGGGTCTTATTTTCTTCAGTTTCTTATGTAGAATCATCGTCACTCACGTAAACAATGCTGTCTTGTCTCCTCTTGTGTGTTTTAATCTTCTACGTATTATTAATGAATTGCATTGTTCATTTCACATATATAAACATTAATTCAATCAAATACATATTCAGTAATAAACAATAATGAATCTTTTGTACATATTCTTAAGATAAATGACTGTTTCCTTGAGTATGCACGTATACGTTGCCGTTTCACTATCAGTCTCACTTTTTCTTTAATATCAGTGGTTACTTCTACTGTACATTAAATAACATTAATTAAGTTGGCATTCCCAATCCATCTCTTTTTTTCTTCTTTGCCATTAGTGATTAGCTACTTCTATTGTTCCATTTATTAACATTAAATAACGTTACTTAAATCATATATATTATTTTCTTTACATTAATTTTACTACAGCTACAACCAGGGTCTTATTTTCTTCATTTTCTTGTGTAGAACTATTGTCTCAGACTCCCGGCTGTAAACACAAATGAAAACAATGGCGTCCCATCTCCTCTTGTGTGACCATATTATTATTCATTTACAGGTATAATTCAGTGGTTCCCAACCTTTTTGTACTCGCGACCCTTTTCTCAAAATCCCGAAACACACGCGACCCCCCTGCCATCAGCCATTTCAGTTTTACAAATTTTTCTGAGAAAGAAAGGGGAAGAAAGAGAAAACAATCATTGATTTATCAATTATTAAATTTTTTTTTATTTTATTAACATAAACATAAATTACATCATCTCTCCAACCTAGCAAGTGGGATGGTTGGGGTTGCATCTGAGAAGCGAGTCTTGGAATTCGTGGTGGGGTGTTTGTAAGAGCCAATCTCATGTCATCCTCGACATCCAATCTGTTCCTGGTCTTTGATTTGATGTGGACTAGGGTTGAAAATCCGGCCTCGCAGAGGTAGGTGGAGGCAAATGGAAGAAGAACACGTAAGGCCAGCATGCTGACTTTGGAATATGACTGATGCATAGAGCACCAGAATTGAGTCACCGATTCTCCTGGAACAGGTCATGCGCCGAAGTCGTTCAGTAGATCCAAGAATTCATCTTGGACTTCGTCGGGGATGCTGGATACGTCAAGTGTAGCAGAGAAAGGGTGTCTTACCAGTGCCTCCTCTTCTCCTGTGAGCTCAGGGAAGTATCGCTGGAATTTCTTTTCTAGGGATTCTAGGTGTCCGGCAATCCGGCAATCTCATCCTTCAGGAACTGATCTAGTTCGCCCTCAGACTCATCCATCACTCCACAGAGTTTTTCAAACATGGCGAGGTTCCCAAAATTGATTTTCTGACTCCAGTTCTGCAATTTGGATATGAAGGCGCGTAGATTGTCTTGAAATAGGAGAACGTGTGTTTCCCTTTCCTGAAGTTTCAAATTCAGCTTGTTCAGCTGGTCGAAAATGTCCGCCAGATACGCAACCCTTTTATTCCACGTTTCATCATCGAAGTGAGCCAGAAGATCTCTCTTTTCTTGCACTTCCAGAAAGAGCCTGATTTTGTCTTTCATCTCGAAGACACGATTCATAATGTTCCCTTTCAACAACCAACATACAGCCGTGTAGAAGAGAAGGACCTCATGGTCAGTAGAAGAGAAGGACCTCATGGTCAGCACTCATGTCTTTGCAGAGTTCTTTGAATAGACGAGTGTTGAGTGCTCCAGCCTTCACGTAATTCACAATTTTGATCACAGAATTGAGCACTAATGGCAGAGAGGCAGGAAGGGTCTTAAGGCGAGACCATAATGATGGATCATGCAGTGGATGCCCTTACCTTGGGGAGCCAGCTTCTTCACTCTTGTCTGGATTCCTGACTGTGATCCTAGCATAGCTGGTGCTCCGTCCGTACAAACCCCGCACACGTTTCCCCATTGCAAACCTTCGGTATGAAAAAAGGTAGAGACCTTTTCCATGACATCATCAGCTGTTGTAGTGGTTTCAAGTGCACCACAGAACAGGAATTCTTCTTTGATGATGTATGAATGAATGTACCTCATGAAGACAAGCAACTGAGAACATGAACTCACATCTGTTGATTCATCGAGTTGAAAGGAGAACAACGGAGAAGCTTTGATTTCATCCAAAACCTGCTCTTTCACATCCATAGACATATGAGAAATACGCCTCTGAAGAGTATTATTCGACAGAGATACTTACTGCATCTTCTTCGCACTATCTTCCCCGAGAGCGAGCTTCACCATCTTCAACATGCAGGGTTTGATAAGTGTTTCTCCAATCATGTGAGGCTTTTTTGGCTTGGCATTTTCCAATGCAACTTCATAAGAGGCCTCCACTGCTGCTGCACTCTGTTGCTGAAAAGACCCACTAGCATTGAGCTTTTGACGTTTGAGACGAAGCTCATGGCGTTTGAAGAACTCCAAATCCTTCTCTGCATGTTCCAGATGCTTCGTCTCAAGGTGACGCTTGAGTTTCGAAGGTTTTATCGACTCCACACTCAGAACAACATCGCACAAGACGCATTCTGGTTTCTCGACGGCATTGTTGGCGAGCACTGTGGTGAAGCCAATGTTGAGGTAGTCTTCCGAGTATTTGCGCCTTTTTGCCATGGATTCAGATCTGTAAATACAAAATATACAAGAAACATCAGCAATAAACAGAGCTGTTAAAAGTATCCAATATTGTAACTCAACTTACTAAGTTACACACACACACACACACGTAAATCCGTAAAATATTACAATTAAGCATAACTGTGCATGATCAATTAATTTTTAACTCACCCAGTTACTACAGCTGAGAAAAATATCAGTAGCAATGGTACAGGAACTGCGTGACTAGTGACAGGCTGGTTTGATACTGACTGACTCGAGACGGGTGCCTCCGCTATTTAAATACCCTGCTCGTCTCTACCAATATGCACTAATACACATGCGCTTCTAGCGGATTCGCGGACGCTTCCACAACTTGCCCAAGCTGTCTGAAGCTTCCATACACATAGAGGGCAGGGGATATCTAGAACCAACTAACACATACAAGCACCAACTAAAAAGTAGACGCGAATACTAATAACCTAACCGTAATACATCGAAAAGAATGAGCGAAAACTATAGCCTACTCCACCGGCACAACATTATGTTGTGTGTTCTAGGTCACTGGCGTATCAGCGAAATGAAAGTTTTGGATGTTCCTGCTGATATACTAAGTTCTTTTCCCAAGGCTACCAAGTTCTCCCAAGGCTTCTCAACCCCATCTGCACTATCTTGTTAATAATCTCAGAAATTGCTTCATCTTCATTAAATCCTTTGAAACTGTTCACATATCTTTTCAGGACCTTCTTCCATATTCCATTCATGCACTGACCTGTAACCTCATCCCATGCTGCAGCTATGTTCTTTGTACATGCAAATTGTTGTAGTCCTTCTAAAACTCTCCTGAGTGTTTTCTCACTGTCAGTAGCAGCAATAGCCTGAGCGAAGATCGTACGAAAATAATACGCTTTAAAAGCAGCAAAAGCACCTTGATCCATGGGTTGGATGATAGAGGTAGTGTTAGGTGGAAGGTAGACTACCTTAATATCAGGGTGCAGGTCGTCCAGGTGTGGTGGGTGTCCCGTAGCATTATCTAAAATTAATAAAATTTTGAATGCAACCCCTTGTTGCAGACAATACTCCTTGGCTTGTGGAATGAAACAACTAAGGAATCAATCCTCAAACAGTGCTAGGGTCATCCATGCTTTCTTATTACTGCGATAAAATGCTGGCAGTGTGTGCTTGCTGACATTTTTAAAAGCCCTTGTGTTCTATGAATGATATATCATGAATGGTTTTACCTTGAAACCAGCTACATTCCCCCCCAACAGAAGTGTGATTCGATCCTTGAATCCCGGCATGGTTTTCGCCTGTTTGTGGATGTATGTCCGTTCTGGCATGCACTTCCAGAATAAGCCCGTTTCATCCACATTAAATATTTGCTCAGGCAAATAATTTCCCTCCACGATGACACGATCTACCTCCTTCTTAAAGCTTCAGCAGCTCCCACATCAGCACTTGCCTCTCCACTCACTTTTACACTATGCAAACTGTAACGGTTCTTAAACCTTTGGAACCACCCATGACTACTTGTGAGGTTATGGTCGCACTCATCTCCTGCCTGCTCCTTCAGGCTTTCGAAAAGGCTTCTTGCCTTAGCCTGTGTCACATGTCGGCCCATACCGATGTTTGTGATTGGCTAATTAGGTGATACCTGAGAACGACCAATGTCAATGAGGGTGGTTCACAACCAGTATGCTTGTATAAGTTTTCTAATGTTTTGATTTACGATGTTTTTTTATATCAGTTAAATTTAGTTTTGGTTGTTAAAACATTATGTAAGAGCCCTATTCTCTTTTATAGAATATACGGTGTAAAACTTTTAATGTACGTACTGTATTAGGATTAGTTGGCAACCGAGCCATATTCATGTGGTGGTGGTGATGGTCACGGCAGAGCAGTGTTGGCCACGGACTGAACCGGACAACACGGAGAACCAGGAACTCCAGGCCTGGCATACACACGCTGAAGTGGGATACAAGATAGCCGCCGAGTGAAACCTTGCTCTGAGAATGTAAATACTGTTGTGTAATATATGTCATTTTTACACGACGAGTTTCCATAAGCCCTTCCTCTCGGTCTGAAAGTCTCGTGACAACTGACAGCCTGTATGGTTAGAAGGCTTAAGGGTACATGCCGTTGCAGCTGATCTTCCATCCACATCACAAGTAATTTTTCCATCTCATGAAGAGGACCTTGTCTTGTTTTCATTATTATTGTTACCTTTATAGGTGCTGATCCTTTCACTACCTCACGAATTCGTTCGTTGTCCTTCAAAATTGTTGATATCATCGAGTGAGAGAAGCCAAGATCGCGTGAAATGGCTGCTTCCGATTTTCCATTTCCATATTGCATTATTATTTTCATTTTCCATCTCAAAAGTAATTGATTGTCTCTTTTTCTTCTCAGCACCATGAGAACTCTCACTTTTATGCTTGCCAGCCATTTTAAAGGGAATTGGAAAAAAAATTTTTGTCGGTACACAGCGTGATCACTAACAACAACAACGACGGCCAAGCACTAACTGAGCGGGCTATAGTGTGGATGCTGTACACCACGAGGCAGCCCAGCCCATGCTGTCATACGGGTTCACATTACGACCAACCGTTTCGGGACTCGAAAAGACGTAATGTGAAAAATATTTTGTACGTCCACGGCGATCGTATGTCCGGATTATCGTAAGTCGAATATGTTGTAAGTCGAGGATATATAGTATGTATATATATATATATATATATATATATATATATATATATATATATATATATATATATATATATATATATATATATATATATATATATATATATATATATATATATATATATATATATATATATATATATATATATATATATAATTTTCATATCAACTTTGTAACTTGTGTCTTTCACATTTAACAACTCTCCAGTATTGTATACTCTTTACATCAAAATGACCTGTTTGGGCCCAAAAGGTATCTTCTCTAAGCATTGCAGTTAATTTACATCAGGTCACAGAAGAAATTATGTGTAAGACTTCAGATTTACCACAGGAGCATCTTACAATTAAGATCATGTATTGATACAGGTGATTAGTTAACTATGTAATGTAGATCCTTGTAAAGTTCATTTGGAACATCCTCTTTTTATTTTAATTGTGTTACTAGTTGTAAGTGTCCCCAGATCTGTGAGATTCTTCTTATAAATGTTGGTACTTTTGTTGAGCGAGTATCCTGTTGACAGCTACTAAATTAAGGTATGAGTAACACGGGCTTACTTACATTTTATGTGGAGTAAACCTGTGATGCATGTGAGTTATGTGCCAAGGGCTACAGAAAGATTGGACTGGTTGGTGTGTTGTACAGAGGCAGTAGAGTAGTCAGTAGTAGTCTATAGCAGTTGTTAGAACATGTCAAGAAAATTACTTCATATAATGAGTTTTGGAACAGTTAATGTAATGATGAAATCTTTACGCAATCACAATTTGATGTAGTTGTCTTCAACTAATATTAATTATTATGGAGATAATTTCAGCCAAAATGTATGGGGATAATTCTGCCTGTGGCAACCCTAACATTCAAGTGGAACTCCCAGATGGTTATAAATCAAAGGTATGGGTAGATAGTTCACAATATGCAAGTTTAATGACTCAGGATCAGTCCTGGATGCATCAAGATGATTTCTGCCTCTCAGGGTTCTCACTCACCAAAGAGGACAATACTGTACCACACAGTTTTTTCTTTATCTTAGTTGAATGCTACTTGAAGTATTAAAAAAGGAAAAAATTTATGCAGTTCAGTGCCTAGTCCATAGTTACTTATTAGTGAATATAGTATTTTATTTGTAAAATATTCTCCCATTCATTTAACAGTAAGGTTAAGGTTTATATGAGACTCCCATGTTTCATGTGTAATATATAAGGTCAATCATTAATTATAAGGATGGGTTCTTGGACAGGAAGAAATAACAGTATTGAGAACAGATGAAAAAATATCATTATTGTTTGTCGAAAAGGTTTGTGCATTTGTTACTCTCCCGTTTAACTGGATGTGAATTAAGGTTGAAATATACTGTAGGCTGGACCCATCACATTCCTATTTCCTGTATCTCACTCCTCTTTGTTTTATCCCATACCTCCCACATATCTCAAGATCTCATAGTGTCATCAGTTACTGAAGAACTCTATATTTTTTCTAATCTTGCCATGTGTTTCATATTGTACAGCTGGGGAATTGGAGCACTGGTTTTGTGGTAAATGATCATTGGAAACCTCACAATGTTAATTCCCAGAAAATTCTGTAAATTAAAAGGCATATCAGTAATGATGTTTTATTTTTACCTAAATTGCTTATACTGTATAGTATAGTATTTACATGAATTTAAATATCATAAACTAAAACCCTATTTTTCCCATTAAAATGATATATTATGCATTAATCTTGAATTCTGAGACAACAGGGGTGTTGAGTGGCGCAACTGATGGATCTTTATGCATCTTGTTGAAAGTCAAAGCATCCTTGATATACACTTTCTAAAACTTTCTGTCCTGTCTCATTTACTATAGGTATATAATTGTCCCTATTTCCTCTGGGAACTCCCCTTCCTTGTGGGGTGGCTTGTGTAGAATCTTCCCCAAACATTGTTAATTGTAATTAACTTTGAGTTATTTACATGAACTTACTACAGGAACACTTGAGATGTACTGTACAGTCTGTTGATTTCTGTACAGAAAGAAGTCTACTTGCTGGTTTGACTCTTATAGGAAAAAGGTGCTTGCCTTTTTCATTCAAAAGCAAGAAAATTTCCAAAAGAGTTTAGCCACAGTAAGTACATACAGGGGTATTAATAAGATAGAATGAAGCAGGAGAGATGGGTACATTAAGTGAAAGAAGAAAGGAGTTGCTAATCAACACTGCAGGGACACTGGTGGTTAAGAAAATATGGTAGAATGAGTTGTGAGCTGCTTAAACCTTTTGGTCATGACACATAAAAGTTATTTGTCGTTGGCCATGATGTACTGCGCACATCATTGTCATTCCTAAAAACCCATTTTAATTCATATTATGCTACATAATATTCAAATCCACCGCGCTTGTAGATTCTCCGGAGAGACGTGTTTTCCCATCCGTTTTACACTCAGGATCACTCCCAGTAAGTCCCGCCTTCGAACACAGTTGTCACTACGTTTATTGCACTCTCTACTGGCAAACGCAACCTTGAATTAGTCTGTGTAAATTAACTTTAGTAATTCTCCAGACCTTTGTCAAGTGAGGGTCATCCTTGAATGAGGAGCACTTAGATTGTTTGTAATTTCTGTCATTGCGTGAGTAGCGATCGCTGGCAACTCAGGGGTATATAAACCAGTGCGAGGCGGGAGGAAGAAACCTCCCATATCATCTTTCACCTTCGTTCCCAGGTATGTTCTGTGTTTATCAGCATTCAGTTTGATTCAGTCTATTGTAGTGAATATCAGTGTTCATGCTTTAACAGTGGAATTGTCGTTCACCTAGTGTAAGAAGTAATATAACGGAGGTATCTGACGTGGCGAGACTCAAGATTTGTTTGAGACCCACCATGCTTCCTCAAAAAAATAACCTCCCGTATCATCTTTCACCTTCCTTCCCAGATCGAGGGTGGGCTTAATTGAAACCCACCGGTCGCTCGGAGCCGGTGGATACCCAGCAGTGGTCAATATAGGAGTGATGGTGCTGATTCAGCATGATTTATCAGCTCCACTCTACCTCGTGAGCCGAGGACCCCAGACCCACCTCGTGTCGGAGTGTAACAGACCACAACAGTAGTTGTTAGAGGCGCCAGTGCTATACCCTGGGACAGGCCTTGGAGTTATGGTCCACAGTGTGGTTGTATGTGTTTGTTAATAATTACCCCATGTTGGGTGGTGGACCCATGTCGGTGTTTGTATCAGTATTAGTGCATTGGGAGTAAGGACAAGGAACTGGTTCTGCGATGTAATGTAAGGTGACACCAGTTATTGTGTGCACGGTAAGAGTGTAATATCTGAGTAATTGCTGTTGAGTAAATA